GTTCGATTTTCCAACGCGCGGAAGTCGCTGCAAGAAGTCGTCATGCTGTTTCTTCTTCGATATTGCGTGGCAAGCAGCGCCCGCTGGTAATCTCTAATCCTCGTTAACGTCCCGGTAGCCTAACTTCTCTGGCCTACCTCTCTCTGTTTTTCCGCGAAAGTTATGGACTCCCGAACCACTTCCGGCCAACTGGCTTTCGATATTGCCTCGCGAATTTCCACGCTCCGGGCTGGCTGGCGTGAACAGAGAGTGCAACGATTCAGTGTTAATTTATCGAAGCGTTTTCACGGCGAGCTGGTTCTCGATCCTCTCAAAAGAACGATCCTTTTCAAAACATCGATTTCTCGAGGGAAAAAAATGGGAAGGTTCTTTGACTGCTGGATCCAATTAGGGAATGAGAAGCGCTTGAGGTGTTCCAATTACGCGACGCTCGAAGCGCAAAAAGTTTTGGACAAAAATCGAAATGCTCTTGTTAATGTACAAATGTGGATTTGTATTTGCGAAATATAAAAAACAATGATTCAATTTTCGTCGTATTATTCTCTGGTTCGGCGTTGTTGGATTTATTTATGTTGATTTGCGAATTATCAAAAATTGTCGATTCGATTGAATTTCCTTTTTCAAACTGGTCAGGAAGATTTTCATTGGTCGTTTCAAAGGTACCACTCAATGCAGCAGAAAAAATGCAGAAAATGCGATATATCTGTGAAATACAACTTCTTTTTCATACAAGACCATGAATGAATTTTTTAATGAATTTTTCAAGGAAAAAGAAATTTCTGAAATGTCTTTCTTTCAAAATCTCTTAGAAAAGTAAATTTACACGTCTCTGTTCTCGAAGCCTCCATCTTTAAAATACAGCGAGGTGAACAAATGAGTGGGTTAAAATTATAGTGTCGTAAACTCACATTTTCGAAAACGTTGACTAATGCTTAAAAATGTAATCTGTACGCGCCAAAATATTGAAAAGACGAGCGAAATGAATTACAAAGTTACTATAAATCATCTCTTAACTCTAAATTATCTTAACAATGAATTTGGTCAGTAAACACTATACACGATAGTAAACAATAACACCCCTTTTTCACGCAATAAGAAAAATATAAATTACGCCATTATAATTCTCAAAAGACTCAAAAGACATTGCATATTGGATAGTATAATAATTATGTTGCGAGGTGTATTTAATTGCAATCTTCCCTTCGAACGACGACGCCACCAAACAAATAGATTAAAATCGAACAATCATTCTCCGACTTTTGTCCACCGTAGTCGCGCCGTGCGACGTTCTAAGCAGCCACAGACCGTTGATCGCATAATCACGAGCATCGGATATTAAAAAGCCAGGGAACCGCGCGTAATGCAGTGCCGGACCTCGGGTATTCTTTACAGGAGGTCGCGGTTCAGCCGGCTCGAAAGCTCCGCCGATAAATACACGTTATCGATATTACTTTCCGCGCGGTGTCCACGATAGCGGACCGATTCACAGTTCCCTGCTTCTCCGTTCGCTCTTTATTTCTCTTTTCCTTTCCGCTTTCTCATTGTCGTCGGCCGGCAAGGAATTTGTGTCCCACGGCTCGTTGGGGGTGGCACCGTTTCTATTCATCCCGAGAAATAAAGGCGTGCCCGATCGCGAGCCCCCGATAACCATGAATATTTTATCTGCATAATATCGCGCGCGGATTCCCCGCAACCCCGCAACGCGTTCACACGTACACCGTCTCGTACACGTGTCCGGTCGGCTCCTCGTCCTCCACCCTCGAAGCCGCCTGCTCCTTCCTCCGAGACCGGGCAACCCACCCCCGCAGAGATCGCACAACGTCGCTCTTGAGCCGAGAGGAACAGCCCTGTCAACGGTCCCGATCGCACGCGAGGAATGCAAACGCGCAGCAATCGCACCGTTGCACATATTTAGCTCATGGTGCCCCATGGGGCGCGCCCGATTGTCCCGGGGCAGGCTTTGTTCGGCCGACACCCGCTGCACTGGGGACATTTTTTAGCCGAGGACATATTAACGCTATTTTTAGTGATTATCTCTGTGTGCTTGTCATTGTTGAATTAATTGTGCGATTGTTGTGCTAGCAATTATAAGCTCGTACGAGGAAAAGAGATCGTTGTCACGATAGAAGAGTTCCATAGATTGTAGTTGGATCTTGTTCAAATCGGTGGAGTTGCGAGACGTGTTTTAGTTGAAAAAATTTATCTGAAAATATAGTGGACTATATTTAGTATATAGACTATATAGTGGACTATGGACTGGTAACAGTCACATATCGCAGAACAATATTGATTAAAAACGTAACCCTGTCAAAATCGAGTAATTTCTATTTTACCTATCTCGTAACGTTTTTCATTACATGAAAAAACTACGTTGCTTAGCAAACCATTTGGTAACAAAAAGAAAGATGATAAGCAATTTTAGTCTAGATTCTTGAATTTCGCGGATCATTTAAGGGGTTCAATTTGGAAAATGGTTTTCAATTTTCGAAGGCGACTCTTGGCCTTTTCGGTCAAAACAGTTTTAACATCCGAAAGACGTTTCTGTACAGCGCGAGGCGTCCCGAAGCCCCTCTTCGCAGTTCGCCCGTTTCCCAATTTCCGATCGAAAGTTTCATCCAGCCGGAGTAGAATGTGCCACTGGGTCAGACGCGACCAGTTTTCGAGGTTCTTCGATCACGGGAGCGTGACTTTCGCACGCGGATTGCGTGTCGGACGCCGCGTCCTGTTTCTCAGGTTTTATTTCCGCCGGCCGGTGGACAGCGACGCGTTCCCCTCCATGCGAATCTTCCATCGTAAAAATCTGACAGCACCGAGCTCCACGGTGTTATTCTGGCGCCGGAAAAGCGCCGCGAGTATTCGCAGGGACCACTCGCGCACCGTTGTATGTATTTCGGATCATTTCGCGAGGCTCGCTACTGCCGGCGCGTGGGCGTTCTATAAACGGCCTCTATATCAATTCGCGGCTCGATTTAACCACCCCCGCAAACCCCTTTCTCAAACATCCGCCGCGCAACAATTACCAGCGAGCATATTTCCTCCATTGCCGTTTCTCCGCGGCGACGAGGAACCCGGCGGACTTTTAAAAAGGTAGCCCGGACGACGTTTCGCGGGCTCTGAAGGCAAGCAGACGCGCCGCGCAATTATATTCAACAAACGTGACAGAGGGTTTAACAACGCTGACATGATTACATAACCCGCGTTATGTCCCGACCGCGTTCATTTGTCAAGTTATTTCCGCGCGCGCCCCTAACGAAGCGGCCGTTCTTCCTGATTATTCGGGCTCCTTTATCGACGCCCTTTTCGTCTTCCCACCGACGATAGTAATTCCCAACAGTGAACTGCGGTAATTACATCAGTCTCTGCTTTTGTGTTACGTTACTTTCGACTGGATTAGCATGCATTGTGATCCGGGCCCTTCAATTTCGACGCGACAGTCGGCTGATCGTGACCTGCAGATTCTACTCGCGGAATGTATACTGCTAACGAATTTAGCGAATATTCGATACCTATCTTGCTTAAACAAAAGGATCTCGTATCAGATGATCAGACGGATATAGCAAGATCCGACGTTCTTTTTAGTGGGCTGGAATTTTGAAAGAGAGAGGTGAAAAAGTAGGAGTTCTAAATATATAAGTATTGTATATTTTCGAAATCATATGGTATAGTAAGAGTAGATCTGAGCTCGTTAAAAGTGACATTATCTGAAATATTATTTCGGAGAACGCGTTATTTTATTTTAGAATTATTTGAAATAATTATCTCTGATAGTTGTGAAATTCTTCGTGGAAATTACGTGGTGATTTAGTTATCGGTTCTGGGTCAGGTGGTTATTTCTGACATTTTCATTGACATTTCTGCAAGACAAAAGAACCGACGTATGTTAAATAATTACCCGGCAATAAGAAACATTTCAAATAACAGTATTGAAAATAACGATTTGCAATGAATTACTTCAAATAGTTATTTATTTCTCTTTTCATTCCAAATAAAATTTGCAGTGAGGTTTGCAGTGAGAGTGGATTGCTGAATTTCGTTTCTTCGAGCAATTTTCTCCAATCCAAGGGATCTTATTCCAGTAGATTCATCAATAGACATTATGCATTTTAACCCTTTTTATATCATCAAAGTTTAGATTGAAAAGGTCGTTAAAAATGAAGCCATTGCACGAGTCACAAAACCCAATTCCACATGCACAAAATGCACTTTGTCGTATGAAATGGAAACACTATAAGTCAAAAAGGTTGCTTTAAATGTACAGTTAAAATAGCTTCGAGTGTAAAGGGTGGATAAAAACGAGTTTCACAAATTTGAAACAGTGGGCAAATTAAAATAATTGAAGTGTATCGATGTACACTTTTTAAACTCTGTAAAATCGTTAAAGAATAGATCGAATGTACATCTGTCACCTGTCTCTTCCATTCGCCGCAACAAATGTTTCCTTCACACGAAGACCCGCAGTCGAGACATCATTTCACAAATAAGATTTTGAGAAAAAGGGGAAGCGGAGGTAAAAATTTCAACCAGAAGCATCGGATATTTTGGAAAGCGCATGGCACAGCGATCGACGGACCTCCGGTTCCCAATGAATTCCGTTTCTCCGATTTGAAAAGTCCAAAGGGCTGGCTCGGCTTCCCGCGGAGTTTGGCCATGAAAAATGGGCACGGGAGGGGCGCGTGTAGGCCGTTCCGTTCATCGAAGAGCGGAGATCGCTTTCACGAGCAACACCGCCGCGCTTAATGCCCAATAAACGAGCGAGGATGATCGGCGTACGGCTTCGAGCTGACACACAACCGAGCCTCGACACTCCCACACAGACACGTTCCTGTGGGATCCCCGTCGCTTCGCGCCACGAGTGGTTTCGTCCCGCGTTGGATGTTGGTACACGCACCAGCTAGCGTGGCACACGCACACTCGCGTTCGCAATCCGGCCTGCACGCACGCACGCACGCTGCTTTGTCACGCGTGCGGTCGGCTGTCTGCGTGCTCGTCTCTCGTCTCTCACCTAAGTTTATTGTTAGAGGGGCCGCTGGCCGCGGACGTGCCGCCAGGATTTAGTGCGTCTTGCACGCCCATGCCGGTACCACGCGCGCCGCGACGCGACGCCTCCATTGATCGAACGCCGATCGATCGATCGATCTATCGCGCGCCGCCAGTGAACGATCTTTTCCGAGGCCGCCGACTCGGATCGCCGGTGGATCGAATCGGAGTGATGAGTTCCGTTTATTCGAATCGAGTGACCCAAAGTGCGAATCCGATGGCGCGAAGGTAGACAAGCGAAGTCGAACGTGACGCGGGTCCCGATCGGCTACGGGTCTCCGATCCCGTTTCCTTTGATTTTGCGACCCCGCCCTCCTCGCAGCCCTCCACGACCCAGTAGGTCGATTTCTATATCGCGACAGCGGAACGGTTTAATTCCATTTCTCTCCTCCTATTCTTTCTCTTTCTCTTTCTCTTTCTCTTTCTCTTTCTCTTTCTCTTTTTCTTTCTCTCTCTCTTTCTCTTTCTCTTTCTCTTTCTCTCTCTCTCTCTCTCTCTCTTTCTCTTGCTCTCGCAGCCTCTCGATGGCGAAAAAACTGGGCAAAAAAGTAAAAAGGGTCGCGATATCCGTCGGATATCGCGCGAAAGGGACTTCCGTTCTGTCGGATGACGCGGGGCTCAGCTTTCCACGGGACACCGAGGCCAGAATGAAAAAAACGTGAAATTTGGATTTCGAGGACAGCGGAGTGCTACGAACACGGAAAACCAATTGCAGGAGTGCACCGGCGCTCGAGTGGGTGGGGATCGTAGCCGGAATAGAGGAATGACGAACTGATTCAAGCCGTGGCGAGGGTGGAGACGGGCTAAACGACGGGCACGGGTCCGGCACAGGGACGAGGGGCTGAAGCAGCACGGGTGCAACAGTCGTTCTTTGAGCAGACACGCGTTTACCTCGAAATAAAAAATTGCACGCCGCCGGTAAAAGTGAAATTCTCGTGCTCGAACCCGCCGCCTCCGCCGCCGCCCGCCCCCTCCCTCGTTCACTTTTATCCGCCGGCTTCGACGATACGCGTAATTCCGTGAGCGTATCGCGCGTAATTCGATCCGAAAATACGCGCGATCAATGATTCCGTTCGCGTCGCGATTCGATTGTCCCACGAAAAATTCAGACCCGATGACTTTTTAATCAGCCGCTTAATGAATCCGCCCACTCTCCGGAAAATCCTGTTTTTTTCTGCTTTTTTTTTTAAACTGGGCCAACGAGGAATAACACGGGAAGGGAGCTTTTATCCGAACCCCGGGATTTAGCGATGGCGTCGAGCGGAGCTCGATCTCGCTGTTAAACGCGAACCGAGCCAGGCTGTTTATGCATAAAAATGGTATTTCGATCAGCCGGACGTCGAAGCAGTACATATTTTGCAGCGGACATCGATTAAACCGTTGACCGGTTGCGTCGGTCGCGTTTGTGTGACGCTAATTTTTTCACTAGCCTTTCAAATTCATTTTCATCGTGACACGTTGAACGTACCTGAAGTTACTCGGATCGTATCCTTAATTAAAAAAGGGAATTAATGTTCGTACTTACCAGGTTATTGCTAGAAATCTTCGTCGCAAGTCAGACTCGTCAAATTACTTTAATGAGATAAAATAGAGACTCTCTTTGTCTGAGGGTTTATTTTTGTAATGTCCTGATATCAAAATGTTCTATTATTCAACAATTTCATTCGAGTTTTTTATTAGGCGATAACCTACGTGATTAATACGAGATAATAGAACGTTTGGATACCAGGATATTGTAAAAACAAATATTCTGATAAGGGAGCGTCTACTGTAATTAAATAATTTTGATATTGTGGGAAATTTTGGAGAAAATATTCGCACCTAAATGTTAACACTAGATTTTCCGGAACCCGTCAAAATGACGGAATTTTTTAATTCACGAATATTCACATCGTAAGGATACATTTATGAGTTATTTATTCAATTTATATGTTACTTGCGGCAAATGTTACAATAACACTTGTCAAAGATCAGAATAAATGTCTGATTGTTACTTTTATAAACTGATATAAAATAGCTGCTTTTTATGCTCCGCAAATCTAGTGTTAATATCGACCGTCGCACAGGTGGGACCCGAGTCTCAGCCGATTGATCAAGAAAAATTGGCTTTTCATTCGACAGTAATACTCTATTCAACAAGTTTCCGCGGTATCAAAGGAGGCACCCCTCCCACCCACGCGGCATCATTTTTCCCGGGTGGTTTAAAGTACACGCCGCGCCTAGGGGTGAGAACCCTCTGATTTTTGGGGACGCGGGTCGCGTTTACCAGCGTTTTAACGCCGGCCCCGTCTCCTTCCGCTCGCTAATACATCCTTAAACGTGGCCGCGTGGCTATCCTCTTGCTTTCTTTCATCTCCGGGGCCCTAATTAACTTTGGTAATTATGTGTGCGCTCTGACAGAGAGGAGCTTTGCTCTCCCTCTCTCTCGCTCCTCTCTCTCTCTCTCTCTCTGTTGCTTTCTACCGAATGTTTAAAGAGGAAAGTGCGGGACTGGGACGCACGTGCTCGGAGCCGGCACCGTGTCAACCATAATCCGCCTATAAATAGGCGGCCGGATCCCGCGAGATTTGACAGCTCGTGACGAGCCGTTGCTCGAACGGATGCCGTTTCGCGAGAAACGCAGCCCGGTTCCTCGAGCCGCTTTTTCAACCTTGCTTCCATGGAACGTCGTTTATTTCCATCGACTCGTTTCAGCGCGAACCAGGCGCGGGCGCGGGCGTGGGCGTGTGTCGCCGCGCGAGCTTTCGGCTCGTTTAATTGCGAGTTTTCAATGTAGCGAGATGTTATTTAAAACCGCTCCACTTTGCGCGAGGTACGCGCCGCGAGAGCGGATCCGTGTCTTTCAGCCATGGGAGTTTTCGAATTGCGGCTCCCATCGCAGCGATACTTCGACGCTTTTATGGAAAACGAGATTTTCCCGTCGTTCTCGCCTGTCGCCTTTCAACCTTTGTTTTTGTCGTCCGGCGCGGCGGAATCGACTGTTGCGATTCATCGAGTGCCAGAAAAATGTACCGACATTTAGCGTAAATATTTGTTGCACGATCGGTAATTAGTGGCTTTTTGCAGAAAAATATCAATTTACGGAGAGAGTGGCGGGGTAAAAATGTGCACATACGTCGCGTATCTCGTGGGAATGAAGATCGTGCTATCATTTTCTATCGGTGTGATTTGGGTGATTGTAATTAGAAGGTGAATGTAATTAACGTTATGTAATTACGTAATGGGAATTGACGAGCTATGGAGAAGAATAGAGTGGGAATGGTATGGCATCGAAATAGAAATAATACGAGACTCGATTAGGCTACAAATATTTAATGTTTAAAAAAAAAGTAAGAGAAGATGGACAAAATATTAATTAAAACTGTAACGTAATGTAAAACAATAATAATCTGTAGCTCGATAACAATGTTAATGTGCAAAACCGTGAACGTTGCATTAAGTCCTTATCTCTGTAAAATATTCCGTATATTACAAACGTAAATGACAATAACCGTATTCGTATTATTAAAAAACGAACGAACGTTCTATTTAGCTTTATTATTATTAGCTTAATTCTTATTTTGCCTTAAATTTCGCGGAACAGTAATTACGATCACCCAATTCCATTAATCCCAATAATTAAGGAATTAATAGCATGGTAATCATTTCCATGAGACATGCGGCGTGTGTATAAAGGTACGCTCGTCGCTGTATCACGATTCCGATGCACGTTGCTTTTTTATCGTCCGCGTTGCTAAGGTCCCTAAGTGGCCCGTGTACTTTCGGTTTTTAGCGCGGCGTCAGCTCGCCGCGTAAAACGTGGATGCGTGGCCCGATCCTTTATCATCTTTCCCTCGGTTTTATTACGCGCCGATAACGCGCTCCTTAAAATGGAAGATCGTGTCGTGGCCAATGACAACCGCGGATGCTCGTCGTTCGAACGAATCGTAACGCTGTGTTGCAGACATCGCGATATCGATCGGAATCGCTTTCGAACACTTCGAGATCAAAATCCGGCGGGCAAAGCACCGGGAATTCGAACTGCTGCGAAACTTTCTCGTCGTCGCGATGGCTCGTGCGAGGTAGCTGTATCTGCAGTAATGTCTCTAATTGACGCACAGATTGTCCACGAAAATGGACAATTTAGGAAGAGGAGATACGATCATTCGATCCCTGCGGTTCATTGTTACGAATTGTCAACAACTATAAAAAACGAGCCGCAAGGCTCGAACAATTATATCTCACCTTCTCAAATCGTCCATTTTCGTGGACAATCTCAGCGACAATTAGAGAGTCATTACTATACAGAGAATTGAACGCGACACGACTCTCGCGCTGACTTAGCTTAACGCGATGTATTTGTTGTTAAAGAATTACACTTTTTTATCGGTTCGTGGACTGTAATCAAAGCTAGAATTAAACACAAGATTTCGGTTGCGCGCTGTTAGGCTCCTTTCGATCATTCAGTCGCATATTCGAAACGGACAATGAAACATTTCCTATAGGGAACGAACTTATTCAATTTTGTACATAGTAAAAATTGAAATGGTATAGTAAAATTGAAATTCGTGTATAGTAAAGAGCAAATCGTGTATACTGAACTTAATTATATAATCATTTTTTTACTCATTATATTGCTGTTGTGTTACAATTATCTAGTTATAGTTCTAATTGTTCTAATTGCAGTTCTAATGCATGCATACATTACGGACAAAAGTTAAGAGACTTAAAATTTTAATACCAATATTATTAATTAATTAGATTGTGTCCAGAAATGCCGACATATTCGACATTTCAATTCTGGCCGCTAAAGCTCGCTCTCCGGATGGCCGTGCAGCGGTCGAAAGGCGAGAGGTCGCGAGCGAGGAACCGTAGGTGTCGTTGGCAAAGCAACGGATTAAAATTTAGCGATACCAAGTTCACCGTCGCAGCATTAGTCTCCCGTTCGAATTTTTTCGCCGGCAGCCAGGCGCCGCGGCGCGGCGTGTAAGCGTTTGAATTTTAATTCGCCGGCTGCTGAAAATTTCGTTAGTCCCAGCGTGGTCGTAGCTCGCGCGTCATACACTGCCGTGAGAACACACGAGCCGCGCGCGAGTCTCGCACACGGGAACCCGGATACACCCACAGCCACCCGTGGATTTACGTATTTCTCAGCTTTATGCCCCACCGGCGCACCTGTGCGGCGCGTAAATCCATCCCACACTCTCGTCTTCGGATATCGTCAACCGCGCGTACGTTCGAAATGCAACCCTAAAATTCCGACGAAGATGCCCAGGCCGTTTTTCTTCCGAACAATGTCGAATCTTCGTGCTGGCGAAGATTCGGAAAGCAGCAGGTTCGATGCGCGGTTCTACGCCGAGAAGATTCTACGCCCTTCGAGTATATCTTTCCCCTTCGAGAAACCGTGCTTTTCGGAAAATCTTCTCATTTAGAGTACCATCCCGACTCGCGAATCTTCACGTTTTAAGGAACTTCTCGTCTCGAAAATCTTGCCATTTTCAGGATGCTCCCGTTCCGAGAATCTTCCCATTTTGAGAAACTTCTGTTCGCATGAATCTTCGCCCTACTTTCGTTCAGCAGATTCTATTTGTTCGTGTGTCCCGCGAATAATTGCTTTCGTACGCCCATGAATATTCCCTTCTACTTCAAATAGCACGTTTGTGGTTTTCCAGAGCGCGCTCGGGATACACTGGCTTACCCGGAACATTCTCCTGACATCGCATCTCTGAATTCCGCCTTTGTATCGGTTCAGATAACGTGCATCATTCAAGGGAAGTTGTTTTCCAAGGAGAACAGACGTAGAATATATCGATGCTTTGAACACGCCGCAACGGGGCGCAATTTTCCACGAAAATACGAAATAGAATAAACTTTTCACCGAGAGGCATCAGCGATTCGCGCAACATTCTGAAAAGACATAATTCGACTGGGGCAATTTACCACGTATCAGCAAGTCTTAACAAGCCTTTCAATCCGTTGCACTCGGCTGTTCCCCTCTGGGTTAATAACAAAGCTGGTGGTTCCATGAATCATGCATAAGTACAGTCTCGTGTCAAACTTTATTTTCTACTGGAATTACCAAGCGAGCCGAAACGACCGGTATCTGATTTGTCTTTTACAGTTATTGGAATTGCAACAATGTTTCCACGAGATGTTTTTAAATAGGTTGCTTTACTCGAGCGTATATCATAATTGAAATCGTACGAAGTTTAAATAAATCTTGTCAATGTTGTAAAACAATCAGAATTTTAGATCAGTCGATTTTAGGGCTCGGTAGTTCTAATTTGAGATGGAATAATTATTGTACGGCGGATATTTATGCAAAATGAAAACTTAGTATAAACAGCAGCAATCGTAGGAAAGAAAGGGTCGAATAAAAATGTAATTCTTTTTCCAACGGTTTCAACATAACAGCAACGAGATTTTTGAATACATTTCATGTCTTCGCGGTATGCATTTCATCTAACCACTGCTGCAATAAATGCGCGCGCAAAGTCAACCGAATAGTAATTATTTCCAACGAATATTATTTTATGACTGATTTAAATTGTCCCTCGCGAATAAATATGTCCGAGTAAATTAATTGCAGCCTGCAGGAACAATTCACGATGATAAAATGAAGTTCTGATCGAAGGGCAGCGGTTCGCATAACATTCTAAAAAAAAAATTATTCGACTAACTTACGACGCGGCTACTTATCGTCTCGGCCTAACAAGCCCTTTAATTAATAACAGCTCGTACGAATAATTCACAAAGGGACTGCTGGCGTCGGCAATGCCATTGTTCTAGCCACCCTTCTCGCCATCCGAGACGACCTTCTGAAAAATTGATCCGCCGGCTGGCAGCTTGACAGTCGCCGGGCGCAGAGCGTAATTTTTCAGATGACGCCCTGAAAGAAATATAAAGACAAACGTAAACCGGCCGTGGAGCGGGCGGGGCTCGATAGTAAATCGAATTTGCGCGCGAGTTTAGCCTCTCGTTCCGACGTTAACCCGGCCAGGATTGTTCATTTATTCAGTCGGAACGATCGTGAACGGTTACCGGTTACCGGTGTGAGCGGCGGACGCCTCTATTTACAGAAAATTGCGCGAAAAATTGCGCCGGCAGCGACAACAACCGTCCCCGCGGAACTTTAAATCTTCGCCGGCGATTTTCGTTCGCCGGTTACTCGTAAAAACGGCCGGCCGGCTTTTTCGGAAAATACCGCGAGCTACAAATTCGCAAATCCGCGGCCCGTCCTTCCGGCGACCGGCCGCATTATGAGCGAGTACAATGATCGAGCGTGTCGAAGGTCACGCGCCATTTCCGGCCGGGAAAACAAAATTGCGCTCGAAAACAGTTATTTGCGAATCGTTCCCGGGAACAGTTTGCCCATTTGCGAGCTTCCGAACACACTCGCGAGTTTTTCTCGAAAAATCGACGGCTCCCTTTTACCAAGCAATTCCAGTCCATTTTTCGTCCCTCCTCGTAGGGCAGCGGACCAGTTACTACGCGAGGTAGCCAAAATTTCTGTGCCTCCGGCACAGTTTACTTAATATTTATCAGATAAGACATATCAGATTCTTTTAAATTTAGATTCGATTAATTATTTTCTGTTAGAATTAATCGTGTAAAACACAGAAGTTCTTGAAATACTCCGAAGATTATTTCAATTGTTTGATACTGAATTCGCGATATTTTTTGAAAATCTTTGTGAGAAAGCTTTTGGAAATACCGAACGAATGCGAATCAGTATTAACGGTTAAATAAATCGTAGTACGCAAGATGTAACAATGTTAACTGCCAACACGTATTAGAATTACGGAGAAACAAAACAGTGATTATTAATATACTTGATTATACGGCGATTATTAGACTGCGGATCTTTATAAAAAATACAAAATTTCTGCATCGATTGTAAGAGACAGGTGCCAGATATACATTCAATTGTTTCTTTAATAATTTTAACGAGATGAAAACAGTATTTCGACACTCTTCGATTATTTTAATTCGTTCACTATTTTAAATTATTCCCACTCGTTTTCACCATAAATGTACAAAATCCGCGGTCTACCAATTACATACGTGGTAACTTCTGTTCCGGAACTTCACGCGCGTACTGTCAGTTTCAGAAATGTCAATTAAATTGCCGAAGTTGTTCTTCGTCGCGAAAACTCCTGAAGTCCGCCAACAGGGCACAGTAATTGGCTGCCCAACCCTAATTCTCTTTCATGCCCGCGTCGACCCGCAGAAGGGACGTTTCCCTTAACAAGATAGAATCGAGTCGATACGCGGTTGAAAGAGAAAAACCGGCGGGCAGGGTGGCACCAAAGGGCCCGAATTTAGGGCCCGGTCGCCTCGAAAGTAGCCACGGGTGTCTCCGGCGCTCGTAAATTAATCCATTCGCGCGGCCGTCGTACATTCATTTCGCGTGGCAGGCCAATCGACGCGCAGGAACTCGGATTAAAATGGATCCAACGGGCTGATTAGATCGTCCGGTTAATTAATTCTCGGAGCGAACGGCGCCTTGGCCTGCGGCGGCAAGATGGCGTTCGAAACTCGGGTCCAAAGCGGCGGGAATTATGATTATTCGCCGGGCCGCGTTGAATAAATCAACGGTTCTCCGCCCTGGGAAACGTAAAATATGAGGAAACAAAGTGTACGTTTCATTCGGGCCATTATTTTCATGAACGTCTCCTCCGTTGGAAAACAATGGCCGCGTTCGCCCGCCGGTTATTTCATTTCAACAACACGTGTTTAGATTCAATTAACTGCGCAATATTTGTCGCGGATGGAAGTAAAACAAACGGCGCCGGAATTAATGGGCGTGTTAAATAAATGCTGCGGAATATTAAGGCCGCGGAAGAAGCGAGCGAGGGCGAGCAGAACGCGGAGGGGGGGAACATCGCTCGGTTTAATCGATCCATCGCATCGGTTTTGCTCCGGCGTTCGCCCCGCGATCGCAATAAAAAAAGGCTTTGGGGATCAGTCTCTGTACACTTTTTCCCCGGGAAAGCGTTAAACCGTTCCGTTGCCGACGTTCCAAGCACGCCGGGCACCATTGAAATTCCCTACGAACGTCCGAGCCCAACGATCAGCATTTTTCAGGAGGCTCCGCCCGATACCAAGGGAGCTCTATCAGATCGAGATATCGCGATGCAGCGCCGTTACCGCGGGCATAACCGGATCGCGTTATTAACAGATAAAAATGCAGTTAAAAACTATTGCTCCGGGCAGCAGCAGAGCAGCGTCGGTCTCATCCGGAACGGTGCATCGAGCGAAGAAGCTGCCGCCGAGTTCTCCCGCGTCCGTCGTAGCGACCTCAGGTAAATGAGGTCTTATCGCACGGTCCTTTTCCCCGGCGAGGTCTGAAGGGTCTGAAAAAGGTCGCGCTGTGTATCGGGTCCTTTCTTATCCCAGGACTTTCTCCGCTTATCCGCCATCGTTCTCCGCGGACAAACTGCATCGGCCGCGATAAATAAACTCGGGCCGGGTCGGGTCGGACCGGGTCGGGAAGAGCTCCGCCCGAGGTGCGGGAAGCATCGTCTCGCGAAGTGTGCCGGTGTCGCCGATGAGCCAGCGTCGTCGTCCGTGTGTTCGCCAGCGGAATTCTCGTGCTCGCCAGTGGAATTCCAACGGCGCGGAGTTTCACCGCGCTTGATCCGCGGTCACGGAATCCCCCGTTACCGAGTGGAAGCCAGCAGGAACGGCAGGAAGGAAGGAAGGAAGGAAGACAGGAAGGAAGAAGGAAGCTCCACGGAGGAGGCGTTATTAAAGTTTCCCCCTCACCCACCCCTACCCTGCTGATCCGCGCGCGTGTTACGCCCGCGTTTACGTGGCCCGGGGCGAAAACTATGAGGCACGATGAGCGGGCCAAGAATCGGTGGGCCACCGTGCGAGAAAATGCTGGACCTCTGCCAGGAGCACCGTCACGGTTGGACTGTGTTGCTGCTGGTGTATTTGGGCATCTGCGCCTCACTGCCTGTCACGATTTTCTCCGGTTCGTATTATTCGATAGCCATACCTCAGCCCTTTTCTTGCTTCTTCCCACGATCAAGCGCCGCGGCCACGCCTAACCACGGCTTTCGAATTTCTCGCGATATTTACCACCGGCCAGCGTTCGGTCCTACGTGGGAATTTCGGATAATATTGACAGGGCTGTGGAAATGTGGATTTTTGAAATAGTTTATAGACTATAAATATTTTCGTATCTTTTCGTGCAATATAGAATTTGGCGGAGAAACTTGGTTTTGAAATTTTTACTCGCTAAGATAAAATATGAGCGAGAAATATTTATTCGAAAACTTGTCCGAAGAAACATTAAGTATACGATAATAAATCGCAGTAAAATATTGATAACAAACTTATTACGTAGCGAAAGAATTAGCACCTTCTTTTAACTTCTTTTAATAAAATTGTGTTTCTTTTCAGCTAATGACAGATCCTCATACGTTCTCTAGATTTACAGAACGCCACGTTTCGACGTGTTCCAAATTTTCTTAATTTATTCAATAATCATGTTTCATCGGAGATATACTATGATTAAAATCGCTGGAGATCTCAATAAATATATGCTTATTATTTTTATGAAGAAATATAAAGTAACTACTGTTAATGCTTCGTAAACCTAGTATTAAAAGACTATTATGTATCTTACATAAAAAACGAATAATAACAGTTTTGTCCGGAAATCGCCTGCAGTAAAATTACGCGACAACAAACTGTTACGCTCGGCAAAAGCCGCGAGCGGTTTGAAAAATCAACATTTCGTCGTCAATACTTCGCGAAACAGGGCTCTCTCTCTAGATCCAACACTTCGAATTTTTTGCTTTTATCCCATCGATCGAACACTGCGCAGAGTCTCGATTTCGAACGCCCGCGCCCGATAAAAATTGTTTGCCGTGGTTCTGCGCGACCCTCGGCCAATAATGCTCGATGGCGTAACTTTATACGAAAATTGATGCTCGTTCCCGGCGACAGCGACGGTTTCGACCGAATTTTAATGCTTTTTCCCTCGGTGAAATTTCAGATGAGCGACCCAATATGCGATCTCGCCACTGCGCGTCCGTAAAATACGCCAATCATTTCGTCGGAACCCATGAAATACCGGTGACGGCGAAAAGTGAAACTTCTTTCAATTTCGATGGCACAGTTAGCGTTCCAAGCGAATATTTTCGGGGCGAAACGAGATTTTTATGGGTCGAAGTACGCTCGTGACAGCTTATTTTTGACAAAATCGAAGGCAAATATTCTGACGCTAGCCTCGCTTTCGGTTAATTCATGATAGACGATGACTGACATCTCGAAGTTTCGCGTATATCGGAGAGGATATTCGGTGATACATTTTTAGAAAGTCGTTTATTTATTTATTTGGTACATGAAATAGTTGTAAACCGTAAGTGATATAATACAATATTTACTTACATTTATCAAAATCTTATAAAGTTCTATGCGGTTCCTCTTGTAAAACAGGATAACTTCTTAGAGATAAATAGGGAATATATTAAAAAGTACTTTGTTAATATATCAGGAAAACGTAAATTATAAATAATACAATGAATGAAAAATCACAATATATAGATTCCCTATTATGGATCTGATTGGAAAAGTGTTTCTTTAAATTTCATTACAGACTCAGACAAAAAAGGCTAAAAAATCATAATTTAAAATTGTATCATCATCTCAACCAATTGAAATTTTTGGAAACAATTTTTAACCATTATCTAGTAGATTAAACGTTCTATCATCCAAAAAGAATTTCGATCGCTTGACCCAATTGTAAAAAAGTGGCTCCGTCTTAAAATGTGTACGAACACTTCTTACACCGGCTGTAAATCATTATTCGAACGCCGTGAGTCGAGATGGCCAGCGAGACGCGAATAAATCCGATGACATAGCGTTTCGTCGACGACGACAACGACGACAACTACGACGACGGGATAGATCGCACGCGAAGACGACGAGGCGATTCTTTGGCGCGGAAACCGCGGCAGCTTCCGCGCATTTGTTCCCCAATATGAACTCTGACGATCCCACCTGAGAAATGAACCACATAAATCACGATACGCTCATCAAGCCGCGCGGCGGTCTCAATTTCGCCGAACTTTTGCCACGAATCGTCAGCAGCCGGCGTCGCGGCGTCGCCACCGAAAGAATTCCTTTCACCTCCGTGTCAATTTTAGAACGACAAAAGAGTTTTTCTGGATGGAAGCCGCTTCACGCAAGAATAACAAAGCGTGGGATCTTTGGCACGGATCGATTTGGACCGCGGTAATCGATACGGGCTCGCCGAGGATTTCGATACAAACATTCTAGAGGAACGAACCGGCTCGTCTGACTCTCGCAGTCTGTTTCCACTTCGCCCGCGTCGTCCATTTTATCCGGGAATCGAGTTCGCGCAGCTTCGAAAAGTCTCGAGATTTTTGTTCGGAATCGCCGGCAGAAAATCCGGCTTAATCCGTGTCGCGCAATCGTCGAAATTCCATTCGCCGTCGATTAAGTGGTTTGCGCGTTCCAATCTATCGGTCGATAATTAATGTAGAAAATTTTAATCAAAATCGTTCGCGATCCGGAGAACTGGCCGGCGGATCGGTTTGCCGTTCGAGCTGAAAGGTTCGATCAACCGGCCGGATAATCGTTTTCGAGCCGCGAAACAATGCCGTGGACGCTTCCTCCTAAAAATAGAGCCGATAACTATATTTTTCATCGGGAAAGAGAGAGAGAGAGAGATCACGCGACGTATCTCGCCGCCACGGCTCGACGCGGCGCGGCGCGGCGCGGCGAGACAAATGAAGCAGACTGGTGGGCGGTCGCGGGCAGGGGAATTTAAATCGTCGTCGGGCCCGTAGAGCAAATTGCAAGTCGTATTAACAATTACCTCGTAATTGTCCGCGACAACCGGGCGAAGGATTTGTAAAGCGTAATTAAATTCCAGCCGCCATGTTCCATTACAGGAACGTCAACTCCGCTCGGCGACGCTCTATCGCGGATCCTCGTCGTTGTAACGGCGCCGCTTTGTTACAATTTTGACGATTTAGTCACGCGGCCGACCGTGAAATTGAATTTTTGCTTAAAAAGCACCCGCGGTGCGCCGCTTTGTTCCTTGAGAAATTGTCTCGCCTAACGACGACGTCGTTCGCTTTACCTTTTCCATTGTTCGGAACTTAAATACCGCGTTACCGTTGCTTCCTTTCGCTGCGATTCTTCTTTCCGCGCCTCCGTGGAAACCATTAGAATCACGCGATCTAGAGCTGAAATCATCTTCGATGTCCCAGGTCACAGGCCAACTCTAATTCACAGGCCAAACTCTAGAAGTGTCGCTCGCGATCCTCGTATCGACGTCTCTGGAAAGAAAACATGATTTCTAAATTATTTTTTGTATCGTCCCAACCATTTGCAATTTTTTAGCCGTCGTCCAGTACTATAGTCTTTCTATCGTCTGAAAAAAAAGATACAAGTTGCTCGACCCAATCATAAAAAAGTTATTCCGTTTTAAAGATCGTTCGAATAGTTTCGTCTATCGTCGCTGTGTATCGTCGCGCTATTACCGTTAGCGTGCATAAAGGACGATTTACCTAATAAATAAAATAAATAAATAGCTCGGCTCCGTTTTAATTCCGCCAGGACGGAGAATCGGACACCGAGTGGTCGACGCAGTTTTGGGCGAATCGCGCTGACACAATCGGGGGATCGAATTGATTCAGAGAGGCTCGTGTGTCCCGGGTTCAAAGGTGTGTTTTCCATGCAACGAGAAGGATCGTTAAACGCGGACGAGTGGCGTGCCGAGGGGCAGAAGGGGGGTGGATGAATTTATTTTCGAAATAAGACCGCATGTCTGTCTTCGTTTCCATGTTTTTTCGAGGAAACACTCGCTTTATGACACGCACGTGCTGCCATAAAAGTCTGCTCACGGTCGGCACACGGACGTGCGTCCCCCGTACAGCTTCAGCAATTCCAAATGTGCTCGGCTGCATAAGTACTTCCGTTAAATCTGTGTCAGAGGGAACACGGACGACAATTTTTTCTTCGCCGACGTTTACCCGCCCGTTCCACCCCCTCGCGTTGCCCTTCCTCTCTCCCGCTGTAGGTCGGGGGGTGCCAGGCTGCTCGTATTTCCCGAGCAGTCCAATCCAAGTTCTTCTTTGTGTCGCCGGGCGCAATTAAAAGATACAATCGAATTAAATCGTTCGCGACGCGCGTTCCACCGCGTCGCGGCCTGCCGGTTTAATTAAATCGAAGCGCGGGCTGACCAGAAACTCGCCTTCCAGCCCCGACGACCGATCATACCGGTTTTAATCTCGCGCGTGATAACTGTTTGGCTACCGGTAATCGTTCCGAACTTTATTAAATTCGAGCCGCGATCGGGCCGATCTACGATTTCCGAACCCGTCCGCGGATCGCAAGAACTCGGCGCTAGATTAAACGTTTTTATGGGTGTACGGACGTCGGAGGGAAATCGCAACTGTTCGCAAAGCCAAGGCATTTTCAATTAAAACGACGACTAACCGTGAAACACAGGATAAAAAATCGGAACGATCCGCGCACATTTAAGAAATTAACAGAGCGATTTCGCGGACGGGAAAGCTCCGGTTTGGATTGAAATATTTTGCACACTTCCTCGAAGGAAAATTGCGGCTGCTTTCAAAAGGTCTCGCACAGCTTATATTATATTACGTCAACGATAAGCTCCATAACGGATTAAAAATTAATGAAAGAATTGAATAAAGAACGACTGGTGAGTGAAATATACGGAGCGATTTTGCGAATAGAAAAGCAGCATTTCGGACACGATATTTTGCAGATATTCTCGCAGTAATATTGCAACTGCTTGCAATGGCTAGAAATTTCATATTAAAATGATGTTAATCGCAAAATCGGATTACAAATCAGAACGGGGAGCGCGAATTCGTTAAATTAGTTGAGCCATTTCCCGAATCGAAAGAGCTCCTGTGTCGACTATAAATGTTTGCTGATATTCTCAAAGCCAAATTGTACCAGCTT